GCTCTCGGCCAGCCGGAGCTGCAGCAGAGAGCGCGCAGGGGCGGCCGCCGGGCCCTCCACGGCGCCCCAGGCTTCCCCCGCCAGCTCCCGCTCCACCACGAGCGGAGGCAGGTCCCCGGGCGCGGCCGTCAGCTCCAGCTCCGGCTCCGAGTCGGTCTCGGCGGCCTCCCCGGCCACCCGCAGTCCGGTGGGGCGGCCTCGCGTCGGGCCCGAAGGTCCTAGGTACAGTTCCTCCTCCGACGAGGATGCTGAGAGCTCCGAGTCTGTCTCGGCCGCCTCCCCGGGCACCACCGTCTCGGGTCTCCGCTGTGGCCTCCGCCGACGGCCCTGGGTCGCCATGACTCCAAGCTAAGAAGTGGAGTTTGGGGACATGAGAGGCGCGAGCTTGGTGCGTCTCCAGCATAAACCCTCCCCTCCAATTACGCTGTCACATTTGAGGCGAACCCCGACCCCAAGACGATGCGCTGTGCCTGTTCCCTCCTTAGTGCTCGACCCAGCTCTGTCCCTGGTACCTAGCTTCTCCCTTTGGACTGCTCTGGGTTCTGAGCCTGTCCTGGAGCCCCTCCATTGACACCAGGTAATCCAGCCACTCCCTCAGTCTGGGCCTCAGTTTCCTGTAATAAATCTCATTTTCCTTTAATAAATATCTGCTTGTCACCATTGCCAGGGTTGACATTTGAGTTGGTATTTGAGCCCCAGAGTCTTCAGTATACCGATGAGTAAACTGAAGACCAGCTCAATCCAGGCCCTGGAGTCCGAATTCCCCAGCTGCGCCCTTTCTGCATTTGCCTCCTAATAGCAGAGCCTACACCCTCCACATCTTTCCCTAAACTGGTCTCAGACGCGGAAGCTGACGGGGACTAGTTCCCGGAAAGGGTGGCCGTTCGGCTGGACTATTTGGGGGAGCAACTGCCAAAGACCATACCGGGTCACCGGAGCCCCAGGCCTGCGCGATCCACTAGCCGGACGACAAACGACTCTCAGCCAATAGGAGAGCGGGTTGGACCGGTGTTGGCACCCAAGTCTCGTGGGTGGCTCAGCTACCAATCAGGAAGCAAAGCCTCTAGCGTGGCTTAGAGCACGTGTGTGCAGCAGAGCCCCGTGAATGGAGGCACGGCCAATAAGAAAGCGACTAGGTCGGCGCTTCCGGGTTGTGCTGCAAAGGAGAGTTATGTGATGGACCACGAAGGATTTAAAAAAAAAGCACCAAGTTAAGTCACGTGCGTCACTAACTGAACCAATGGAAATGCTCAGAGACCCGGAAACAAAGAAGAGCAGAAGAAATCCTTATATAGGTCTGCGCGTGACCAATGAAAGGAATAGTTCCCACCCCCTCGTTTGTGTAGCTCACGTGGGAGGCGGGGCTGGTCTAACAGACCAATGGAAGCGGATGGGGAGGCGGGGCCTGTCCATCTGGACCAATTAGAGCAGGGAGCGCTGTGCAGTCGTTGAGCGCGCTTGGCGGGCGCATGGCGGACGCGGTGCTGTTCGAGTTTCTGCACACGGAGATAGTGGCGGAACTATGGGCGCAGAACCCTGACCCAAGTCCCGGGGTGAGCGCCGGGCCCCGGGGGTGGCGGGGACAAGTCGCAGCAAGAGGGCTGTATCAAGGCCCCATAAAGTGCCCGAAGCAAGTCACCTGGTCGATTCACATCCCGGCCCCGCCTCCGCCTCGCTGGGCGACCTCCAGCGGTTACTGTGGAAAGTGGCGGTACCGAGTGAGCCCTGCAAGTGATGGCTAGAATTGAGCCACATAACTCAGTTAAGGCCTGGCGCGGACTAAGCCATTAATAATTATAATAATTGCTGTTATTACGGGGTGTTTACTGAGGGATTGAATCTGCCTCTGCTACTCACGAGGTGTGCGACCCATTGAGTTAACTGAATACCTCGATTTCCTCCTCTGTAATAAGGGCATTTCTAGGTGGGACATTTATTCACTAGACAAACATTTGTTGAGCATCTAAGACAGACAAAAGCTTAAACTGTAATTATTTAATAGACTATGAACTAGTGAAAAGTCCTGTTAAGACTTTAAGTCGAATGATGTGCAGGAAGAGTGGAAAATGAAAAGAGAGGAAAATGAACCTCTGTGACCCAGAAGCCTTGAAGGAGGAGCATATTAGGTCCCGGGGCAGCACAAATGTTTAGATGACTAATTTTAGTATTGGTGGATCAAATATACCCCAACCTGGTGATCTGCTAGTATAAAATTTACAGCGAGGTTAATCCTATGGGACAGACCTACGTATGAGTCGCAGTGAATCAGAATCAGCTTGACAAGTTTGGTTTTGATTTGAGAGGATTTTAAAGTTTGTCCTGGTGAAGTTTCCACGAGCTCTTGTTGTTAGGTGCGACCAGTAGTGACCCAATGAACAACAGATCTGAACCCTGTCCTGTCCTCACACTTCCTGACACAGGAGAGCCCATTGAGGCAGTCACTGTGTCAGTCCGCCTGGTTGTGGGTCTTTCTCTCTTTCGCCTGCCAACATCATGACAAGGAATAGCCTCTCCTAACAACGTACCCGAAGTATGTGAGCTCAGCGAGGATTATAAAAAAGCCAGTACTCAGCTCTCAGAACATAAGTGTGCTTGGTATGAAATCTGAGGCCAAGAAAAATACAGAGCTGATGAATCGGGGCTTTGGTGCATTTTGGTTTTATCTCCATCATCATCTGGTTGCCACATATTTTTATTAGTGTTCTTCCCAGCTGAGCTCCTCAGTCATGGTCCTGCCTGTTTTCATTCCCGAGCTGGGTTTCTTCTGAGTTCGTTGACCCATTTGTTCGGCTTTTCTTCTGCGGTGCTGGTGGCAGGGCTTGAACCACTGATTATCACATTAGCCGTCGATCCCAAGTGGTGTATCACCTAAATGCTATGAGAATGATGAAAAGCAGGGGAGGAGGAACTGTGTTGGGGAGGAGGTTACAATTTCTTGGAAACCCACCCCTAACCCCATCCTAGCTCAGACTAGAAACCCAGGAGGCCTCTAATACTATCCTCTCTCCCTCACCACCAGCCCTTTCTTGGGCTCCACCCTGTCTGCTCTCTAGACATGCTTCTCATCCATGACCTATCTAGCCTCTTCCCTCGCCTCCCTGCTTATTTCATTCCTCCATGTCTTGGCTCTAGTGCCCCTGTGTCTGGAAAGCCTTCCTGGATGTCCAGTGGAATTCAGGGTTGCTCTTTCCCGTCTCACAACCCCCTCCCACTTCATCCTTGGTGACCCTCCTCACACAGGGGGCTAGTCCATCCTCTGTGTCTGTGTCGTGCTGGGGGTGGGTCCCTGGGTGGTACAGGCTGTGTGCTCAAGTACTTACCTCTGCCATTAACTGAAACATTGGTGGTTTGAGCCTACCCAACAGTGATGCCGAAGAAAGACCTGGCCATCTGCAGCCGTAAAGATGGTCAAAAAACCCAGAAAACCCTATGGACGCAGTTCCCCTCTAACGCATGGGACTGCCATGGGTCCAAAGTGACTGGGCCACAGTGGGTGCTGTCACTCTTTGTATCTTGTTTGATTTCCCGCTGACCACATGGCTGGGGACCAGGTCTGTGCTGAACACAGCTGTGTCCCCAGCACACAGTAGGTCCTCACTGTGGATTTGTTGGTGGAGCCTCATGGACTGTGTTTTAAAGGGAGTGAGTTGGGTCAAGCACATTATTGCGACTACCACCCACAGCCACTCCCTTGTTGGAGCCTGGCCTCTGTGCTGAGGGGTGTTAGAGTATCATTTGATCTCCCTGCCACCCACAGAGACAGGTGTCACCAAGCCGCTTTGTAGTTGAGCAAAGGCTCAGGCCGAAGGTTGTCCCTTCATGAGTGACCAAGGCCAGCATAAAGATGGGTTTAACCAGGCCAGCCCCCTCCAGCCCCTGACTGCTGGATTGGCCACACCCTCTCCCGAAGGGCCAAGTAATGTACGTCACTGGGTGCTGTGACTTCCTCACACACCTGCCCTGCCTATGGCTGGGGCAGTGATCTCCCCATGGCTGCCGACCTCACTGTGAGGTGGGGGCCTCCTCACTGGGTCGGGATTAGGGGGCAGGGGAGGACTGGGATGTGGCCTGGGCATTGGGTTCCAGCACAGTCAAAGGTTAAAGCTGTTTCTTCACATCCTTGGGCCTGGGGAGCCCTGATTTTTTGGGGGGACACAGTACAGAATTGCTTTGTTTCCTCAGAGCCCTGGGTCTTTCACACCTGGCTTTTCTCCCTGCTTCCAGTCTGTGTCTTTGGTCTCCTAAATGCTAGCCTCCTGTTCTGTGGTGTTAAGGATTTTTGTCTTAAAAAAATATGTTATGAAGTGGACTTTATATGTCTGTAGTTGTGATTCCAGCCGGGAATGGATTCCCATTGTGTGTGTGAGGCAGGGAGACTGTAAGATGCATTTTTGAGTTGCTCTCTTAAAAGACAAGAGAAGGAGCAGGTGAAGCCCAGAGAGAGAGATGAGGAAGACAGATGTCGCCATGTGGAGAAACCAGAGGAGCCAGGAAATAGAAACTGAAAAGAGAAGGACCTGCCCTCACGATGGCAGAGAGAGAAAGCCGTCCCCTAATGTCTCTAGTCCTTTACACTGTGAGGAAATAAAATTCTGTTTAGTAAAGCTCCCCTCTTGTGGGCATGCTGAAGCCCAAGTCACGTGGGTCCTTAATAGTCTGCCCAGCACAGTGTGTCCATCAGATTGGAGTCCCTGGGTGATAGGAGTGATTTAGCGGGAACTGAGTGGTGGTCTTGGCCTCCACCTGTTCCTGGCAGGAGCCTAGAGGGGCCCGTGCAGTGCAAGGTGGGCGCAGGATCTAGCTTACTGTCTGGAGAGGCTTCTGCCGTGCTGGGGGGTGGGCACCTGGCTGGGAGAGGGCCCACCTAGACGACGGGGTGGAAGACAGGATCTGGGGACGTGTCATTTCCTCTTGAAAAGCTATGAAACAAATAACCACAAGTGGTGACTTGAAAGAACAGAAATTTATTTTCTCACCATTCTGGAGATTAGAACTCCAAATCCAGGTGTGAGCCCTGTTAATTCCCTCCTGTCAGGAGCTCTGGGCGTTCCTTCATTAAGTTGGCGTCTGTGTGTGTACGCACATGCACGCTTCTGACTCCTCTGTTTATAACTCAGAAGTATTTCGATTTAGAGCCCACTCACCTAAGTGATTAGTAAACGTAGCAAAGAAAACGTCTGTATTTGCATTTCCAAACAGGAGCATACATCCAGGTATGAGAAACAGTGGACTTTCCGTCCCTCTGAGCACAGCTAAGCTGACTGTGACTCAGGTCAACACCACGTGGGTCACAGCAGAATGGGGCTCCATAGCGTTTTCAGTGACTGAGCTGCTGGAAATTGGTTGCCAGGTCTTTATTCTGAGGTGCCTCTGGGTCGGCATGAACCTCCAGTCTTGCAGCTGACCGTCCTAGTCCTGTTTACAGGTGTGATGTAGTCGGGGGGGCCTCCGGCTGACTCTCATGGAGACTGCAGGACAGAGGAGCCCTGCCTGACAGGGCTGCCTACCTGTGATCTTTCTGGAAGAAGCCTGCCCCAGCCTTTCTCCCTGGAGCAGCTGGTGCTTTGTAACCGCAGGTCCTTCTGTCTCTGGGTTGGAATCTCCCTGACGGCAGTGGATTGGTGGGTGTTTTTGTTTGATGTGACTCCTCCACGGGCCTCCACGCCTCTTTTGATCTCAGCTGGTAAAGGCAGCCGAGACAGGTGTGCAGAGCCCCAGGTGTGCACAGGCTGGAGGCTTCCAAATGGGGGCCCCACCTTCCGGGAGATCCACAGTCCCTATGTCCTGCAGCTCCGCAGAGACGGTGCTGATGGTGCAGCCGACATGTGGCTCCAGTTTCTTCTCGCTCTGTGCCCCTTCCCTCCTCTTCCTGTCCCTGTGCCTGTACCCCACAGTCCCAGTGTCCCCATCCTTCCAGCAGATACAGAATCAGTTCCTCTCTGGGAGGTGGAGGTGCTGGGGGAGTGTCTGCAGCACTTCACCCACAACTGTGTGGCCACCCCCCCATTTCACACGGGGTGGACGGGAGGGGAAACTGAGGCCTGTGGCCCTGCATCTCCTGTGTGTCGGGGCTGCAGTGCAAACCCAAGCAGCACTTGCCATGCCCCCCACCCTCACAGACGCACTCGGAATGACCCTGGCAGGGCTCTGGGGCCCTGTTGGTCCTCCTGCCCCATTACTGCCCCCCACAGCCCTGTCCTGGCTGCCCTCAGACCTGGGGGCCTCCTGCCCGTCCTCCGCCAGCACCTGCCTCCTCTTCCTTCACACGTGGCAGACAGTGGCAGTGCTATCTCGCCCTTCCCGCCATCGCCCTTGTGGGAAGTCCCCGCGCTCACTCTCACGGCACCCCATTCCTCCTGGCACCGCTGTGATTGTAATTAAAGCAGTAATTGCATCATTAGCTCTTGGTGCTGCCCCGCTAGAGCGGCCGCTCCATCAGCCGGGACGGCCCAGGCCGCTGGCCGCCTCCTCGGCTTGGGCTCCGTATGCCCACCTCCCTTCCCCACTGTCCCCACCTCACACCTCATCACTGTCCCAGCCCACCAAAGCCCCCAGCTGCCAAGTGGAAGCCCAGTCACAGAGGCGCTACGGCACACAGCAGAGCTGCCCCGTCAGGATCCCCAACCTGGAGATCTCAGGCCTCCTCTCCCTCTTCAAGAGCAGTTGATGGGTTTGAACTGCCAACCTTTTGGACAGCAGCTGAGTGTTTTAACCACTGTGCCACCAGGACTCCTAGCCAAGCCGTGTTTTCTCTGCCCGCGCCCTCTGCTGGAATGGCCCCCTCACCCTAACCCCAATCCGTGTGTGCCCCCAGCACCTGCCCACTCCTTGGTCATCCCATCCATCGTCCTCTGAACACCTCCCACCCCACCACGCCCAGCCAAGAGCCCCTGGGCACCCCGAGGGCATGCCTGTGAAATGAGAGCGTGCATGTCCTGGATAGAACGAGGACACCACCCAGGAGGGCTTGGTCACTGTGGAGGTCCCCTGCCTGCAGGAAGCCACCTCTCAGCCACAGCGGGGTGGGGTCTCAGAGACTTGAGCCCAGAGCCTCTTCCTTTGAGTGGTTTACGCTCCAAAGGCTTTGTCTCCCTTCAGCCAAGCGTCTTGTCTCACGCCTGGCTGTGAGTGGCACTGGGGCGACACGTTTGACCCCACTGAACACACTCTGCACATACGCACCATCAGGAACCTGGGAAGGACATCCCTGCTGCGTGATCTTCCTGTCACACACGAGGAAACACACAGGGAGAAGTTCGGCTCCTCTCCTGTCACCACGTGCTGCTGCTGGGAGAGGGATCCAGACGAGGCGTACACCCACCCCATCTCCTCCTCTGCCCCTTGTCACCTGCCGATGTCTGAATGCCCCCCCCCACTTCCTGCATCCCATTAGTCACCCTCCCTTCCCTCTGGCTATTTCTGAGGAAATGGGAGGGATACAGGCTGGTGACACCAGGCAGAGCGTCAGTGTCGCCGGACAGGAAGCTGTGTCATCTCCTGGCCTCAGTTCCGAGTGAGAAGCCTGTAGTGGTGGAAGAGGGGGGCAGGGGCTGGCAGGGAAGGTGGGGGGCCAGCTCTGGGTGCAGCCCCAGCCCTTCTGAGTCCAGTCCCTGCACTGTGAGGTGCTGAGCCTGGGTCCTGCCCCTGCCCCATTTATATCCCTCTCAATGACAATGCAGCGTGCCCTGGCCTCCCTGCTCTGAGTGGTCTGAGGTCACCCTGAGCCTCTTAGCGGGGCTGTGAGGACACACTGATGGCTCCAGGGGGCAGCGTGGCATTCTCAGGACACTCAGCAGGGTTGACATGAGGCTGGGGGAGGCCCCTTTCCCCCTGTTTCTGGGGAGCTAGACCTGAGGGCTTGATGGGGTCAGTGTGTGTGGAGGGCCAGAGCCCAGCTAAGCCCAGGCCAGCCCCTTTCTCTCCTGAGCTAATGGCTGGCAAGGTGGTCTTACCTTCTTCCAGCTGCTGGAGCAGGTGCTCCCTGAGCCCCCTCTTCCTTGGTCTAGGGACAGAAGCCGAGCTCGACGGTCCTCGAGGCCATGGGCTTCCGTGTGGGCCAGGCTCTGGGCGAGAGGTGAGAGCCAGCGGTGCGGGGATCACCCAGTGGGCTGGGCGCTCTTCTGGAAGGAGGGTGGTTCTAAGTGGGAAGTGGGCCAGGCCGCCTCCTCCTCACCCCCATGACCGGACACCCCCCCCAGGCTGCCCCGGGACACCCTGGCCTTCAGGGAGGAGCTGGACGCCCTCAAGTTCCTGTGCAAGGATGTGTGGGCAGCGGTGTTCCAGAAGCAGATGGACGGCCTGCGCACCAACCACCAGGTTGAGCTCCTAGGCGGGGTCCCCGTCCCTGCTGCTGGAAGCTGAAATCGGGAAGCACAGGAGGGGAACCCCCAGGGAGCAGGCCACCCTGAGCGGGGAGCTGAAGTCAGACCCCGTCCTGAGAGGGGCCTCTGTCTCCTGCACGGTTGAAGCCATGTATGGTGGGGTCCATAGTGTTCCCAGGAGTGCCCATGTTCGAGGCCCTCCAGACCTCCCTCAGCGTGAGCTGCTTATCAAAGACCCATGAGATCCCTGTGCTGTGCCTGGCCCCGGGAGCACTATTCCTTCACCCCCAGACCGCGACCCAACAAGCCCTTGGGCCAGTGTATGTCTTTGATAGAAGGGCACTTCGGGCCCAGAGGGGTGCCGGGTCTGAGGTCCCAGGCCTTCAGTACACAGTACCCTGCTCCTTTGCCCCCAGGGCACCTACGTCCTCCAGGACAACAGCTTCCCCCTCCTGGTCCGGATGGCCGCTGGCCTGCAGTATCTGGAGGAGGCACCCAAGGTATTTCGGGGGGGGGGTGCTGGAGCACCACTTCCAGTGCCTTCTCCCCACCCTCCCAGTTAGCCTTCTCCCCAAGCTAGTGGGTGTCCCGTGGCCTGGGACCTCCAAGCCCTGAGCTCCTCCCCACCATCCTCTTTCCCACATGGCCCCTCCCCCAGTTCCTGGCCTTCACCTGCGGCCTCCTGCGAGGGACCCTCAGCACCCTGGGCATCAAGAGCCTGGTCACCGCCTCCGTGACGGCCCTGCCCGCCTGTGAGTTGTGGAGGGAGGTGTCACTCTGGTCCCTGACACATGGCAGGGGCTTCAGGCTGTCTGTCCTGTTGCCTGTGCATGACGTATGTGTGCGCACGCGCGTGCGCAGGTGAGCTTCCCAGCCCATCCACAGGTGGCGCTCTGGAGGCAGCAGAGCTCAGGTCGCACCCCTGCCCCTGACCTGGCCTCCCCCAGGTGTCCTTGGCCCACACAGGGCTGCTGGACCCTCTGCCCTGCAGGGACACCTGCCCCCATCCACTCTGCCATCTTCCCCTTTCCTGGGGTCCCTGGCCCAGCCACGGGAGGATCTGGACCTCCTGGGAGCAACTAGTGCACTGAGTGCTGGCTGGCACCTCCCTGCCCTGCATGCATGGCCTCAGTGTCCAGCCATGCACCCGGGGCAGGAGATGGGGAGCTGACCTCTCAGACACTGGGGCAGCAAGTGCCACCTGAGCATGGTAGGGAGCTGGCCCCGTTCCCTGGCCCTAGCCCTGGGCCAATGATAACCCTTGTTTGCAGGTAAGTTCCAGGTGGTTATCCAGAGAGCCTGAGGATCCTGGCCCAGACACGTCACTGCCACCCCCAGGGACTCCCCCCCCCACCTCCAGGTCCTCAGGACTCTGGGGAGCAGCTGGTTGCCTAGAACCTGGGGCAGGTGTCTATGGAGTGGTTGCAGGCCGGGTGCTGGGGCGAAGCATGGAAGTCCGGGTCTGCATGCTCATGGGACCTGGGATATTGCCCCGTCAGGGATCCCAGCCATAGGTGGGGCTGGGAGGACTCTGGCTTTGGGCAACCCCCTCTGTGGATCAATGACAATAAAGGCATTTCAACCTGGATTGACAGTGGAAGTCTTGGAGTGGAGAGGGTCATCTGTGAGGCCACATATGTCACAGGTTTTGGGAATGGGCAAAGCGTCTGTGTGTCCTTCCCTGGCATGAGCCCTTCCATACACTTGAGTAGGGTCCCCCAGCACCTGCAGACTTGCTGGCATCCCTGCTGGTTCAGCAAGCCCAGTGGGCACATGGACTGGCCCCTCATGGAGCAGAACTGGGTGTCCTGGGAGCAGCCATGAAGGTCTGAGGTCTTAAGGACTAGGGCTGAGGCGACCCCACATGTCATCACCCCCTACCGCCCCCCTACGTATATGTGATATATGCCTGGCCAGCTGCCGACTTCCTGATGGAGGGGGGCAAGTCCTCAGAGCTGTAAACCGAGACTAGGGGTGAGCCCCAAATGGAACAGGGGAGGGTCCCCTCAGCCTTCACTGGAATCTCAAATGCCAGCCTGCTTTGGACCCCACACAGCCAAGCCTCGGGGTGGCTGTTCCTGTCCTTGTACCACCTTTGGGCCTACTTACCAAACTCCTGTACGACCAGCAGCACCCCAGCCTCCTTGCCGTCTGTGGCAACAGCTCTAGGCAGTTAGTCACTTGTCCCCCGTAGCCTTCCTGCAGACACCTGTCTGCCTTGCGGTGCTGACCTGTTTACCCAGGCACACTTCCTCCTGGTCCTCCCTCTTGGTGGCATCACTGCCCAGCCCAGGGCCTGGCACTCGAGCCTGGGCAGATGCTTCCTGAGTGAATCGCGGCTCACCAGCCCGGAGGGCCCTCTGATGGGCTGTGGTGGTTCAGGCGGAGAGGGAGGGCAGGAGGACGTTTCTGGGATGAGAAGCTGGAATGACTGGGGGAGGGGAGGGAGGACAGACGTGTCTGGTCCCAGAATGAAGTGGAATGTGAGGGGCAGTGAGCTGCAGGAGAAGCATCTGGTCACATCCAGGCCCCCAGAGGGGACATGCCGAAGCCTGAGTGGGTCCTAGAAGGAAAGGATAGTGCCCTCCTCTCCTTGCCAGTTCCACCACTCAGCTTGGCTCGACCCTGAGTGCCCAGGATAGCATCAGACCACCCCATCTCCCTGCTGCCACAGGGACAGAGAGGCCTCCAGTGTCTCGGGCCCCTCGCCCACCTTGGCCTTCCCAAACTAGAAATGTCTGCAAGCAGCCCCATTCAGCATGCAGAAGGCCAAGCTATTGCCAGCTTCGAAACCCCTACTCTGCCCCTGTGCAGATTCCTCTTTCTGGGCCTCAGTTTTCGCATGTGTTAGCTGGGCGCACAGCACAGAGGAGGGGTCGGATTCCGTCTGAAGGCTATGGGAGGCATCTGGAGCTGAGCCTGTAAGTGGGTCAGTGGGGCCCTGCTGACGTTACATGAGGACACCTCAGCTCCTCTCCGACTCCAGCAATCATGCTAGGAGGAGGGTGCTGGCACTGGCCCCCTGAGCAATGAGGAAGCCAAGGATCAGAGAGGTGAAGTCACCTGCCCGGGGTCACACAGCCAAGCCACGGTGGAACTGGCATCTGACGCCAGGCTTGTGTCTTCCTCTCTCCTGTCTCGGCTTCCTTCCTCCAGAGGCAGTGACTTGGGGGCCCTGATGGGTCCTAGCTCTGGGCCTGCCCACCCCTCACATCCATCCCTCCCCAGTGCCAGTCCTCGAGAGCAGGGAATGGGCGGGCACCAAACAGTAACAGTGGGCAGGGCCAGCCGAGCAGGCCGACCGGTTGGGTGGCTCACGGCCTCACAGCCCGGCCTGGCACCCACAGCCTGACAGTCGCTGGGCCAGCACAGCAGCTCGGCCACCCACCGGGGCAGCAGCTGGGGCCGAGAGGCCGCCGCCAGGTATGGGGCCCTGGGCTGGGGGCGGGCAGCAGGGGGGAGCCACATGCCTGGTGTGGGGCTGAAAGGGGACCCCAGCCCCCATCCCCAGAGAACCCCAGCCGGTCCCCTTCTCTGCCCTTTGACTCTCCTCCCCACCTGCCGGCCAGCAGCATCCTCCTCTCCCTCTGCTTTCCCAGCGTGTCCCAGCCCTGGCCCATCTCCTGAGCCTGCCCCTAAAAAGCCCACCTGATAGAATGCCCCTCTCCAGACCCTCATCCAGCCCCCCGCTCTGCCAGGCCTCCTGCTCCCCAACTCCAGCCACACAGGCTCCAGGTGTCCCTTCAAAGCACACCACACCTCTCACCCCCACGGCACCTCAGTTCCCATCTGATGACACGGGGCCCTCAGTCCCAGCAGGTACCCAGCCCACTGGGATGTCACCTGCACACAAGTGAGCCCTAGACCCTCTTCCCTCCCCCACCCTGGCCCCTCACACTCCACTCGGCAGCAGCCCTGAGCCCCCCTTCATTGTCCCAGGGGTGAGGCGGGAACCCCGCCTTGGATCTGGGCTGTTCATGTCTGTTGGGTGCTTGACACTGAGCAGGGACCTGCTCCTATCCGACCTCCCAGGAGCAGCCCGGGCCCAGGTCAACCACCATGCAGGAACCCTACCACGTCCACTTCGCCAAGGGCGCCCTGCCTCCCCGCGCCCATGCCGAGCGATACTTCTTGGACCCAGAGTTGGGGCAACAGAGAGGTAGGGGTTCAGTTTGGAGGGGGACAGTGGTAGAATGATGAATGGAAAAAGACCTTCAGATCCCAGGAGAAGCAGCATAGCTCCCCACAGAGGGTCCCCATGGGGCCGAGGAACCCCCTGGAGCCTGGAGGTCAAGAGTGATCCAGGCTGGGCAGGGTTGGCCCCCTGACCTGCTGCTTCCTCCCAGGGAGGAGACCCTCCCTGAGTGTCTAGCCTGTGGGGACGGTTCCCCCAATTTGGGGAGGAGTGGAGCAGGGTTCCAGGGAGCCCTCGGCAGTGTGGATGAATGGGGGGGTTGGCTTCCACTGTGACTGCAGGTGCGCCTGCCCGGGTGGGAAGGGGGAGAGAGCGGGGCAATTACCTCCCATTCAATTACGCCTGATTCAGCCTCCTCAGGCCGGGGCCTGCACCTCCCAGGTTGGCACCCCTCCTGCAGCCACCTGGCGGGAAGCGAGGCCACCCACCCCCTCCCCAGAGCCTGCTCCCATCACTGGCCGGCACTGGAGCAGCCAGGCCAGCACCCGTGGATGCCTCCCAGTCCCCACTGGGGGCCATAAATGGAACCAGAGATTCAGGGGAGCAAGGGCTGGAGGATTGCCCAGCCCAGCGCTGCTCTCAGCACCCCTCCTCTGCACGCAGGCACAGCACCTCTGCCTGCCTGCCCCCCTAGGGCCTCCGCCCAGCGGCCTCCACCAAAGACTCATCTGGGTTCGTGCCAGTGCTCCCTGCTTGGGTCAGGGGTCCAGGCCCAGTCACCCCATTCCTTCCTTCTAGGATGCTGTCATCAGTGGCGCCATGAACCGGCAGCCCCCCGAGTCCTTCGGCCCTATCGGCCGATCCCCCAGCCCCACTGGCAGCTGGCCTACCCTGGCCGGCGGGGGGGCAGTGGAGGTTGGCGCCGGGGGCCCCAGCCCCCCGACTTGCAGCAACAACAGCAGCAGCGGCAGCAACCCCAGCCCCCACCTCCCAGCCCCCTACGGCAGCGCTTCTGTCCCATCCACGGGGTCCAGGGGGGGCCGCCTGCAGCCACCATTGCCCTCATGGGCTCGGCCGGCACCCCACAGCCGCCCCCTGCACCCACCACCTCACCCGCCGGCGTTCTCACCAGTGCGCCCACCACCTCGCCCGCCGGCGCGCCCACCCCGGCTGCCAGCAGCAGCCCAGCCCCAGCCGCCGGAACCGTCCTGGAGCCCGGCGAGCCCACCGAAGCCCGACCCCTGCCTGCCCCGGCGGCCTGCGGCCCCTTCACCTCCTACAGCTCCGGTGCTCACCCGGGCTTCAGCAGCCTCTGCCCCCTTGCTGCCCACCTGGGCCTCTTGCTCCCTGACTGGCACCTTGGGCCGGCACCCCTCATCCTGCTCTCGAGCCTGGCACAGAGGGCATGTCCCTGACCCAGGTCTCAGGCCAGGCACTCTGTCTCGGCCACCCTCACCTCTGCCTAGCTGTCGGGACCCAAGGCTTCTGGCCTGGCCTGGCCCCTGAGCCCCATCGGGGTCCTCCTGCTGGTGAAGGCTGCCCCCTTCCTCTGCCCACACCCTCGCTCTGCTCTTCTCAGCCCTGTGTCTGTGGCCTGGCAGGCTGTGGGGTTGTGGGGCGGGCAACAGTGCCAGCTTGTTTGCCAGCTGTGGTGAGGGGACGCAGGGCAAATGGGGGCCACAGCAGGAGGGAGGTGGGGAGGGAGAGGCTAGGGAGGGTGGAGTGGGCAGCAGGTCTGCTTGTTAGACCCCGTCCATTCATCCAGTCATTCATGCAGGCCTTCACTCACTCACTCACCCACAACTCCTTTATCTGCTCATCCATCCGCCTGTCACGCTTTCATTCATCACTTGTTCACACGTTCACCTACCTACAGACGCATTCATTCACTAGCCATCCTCTCATTCATTTGTGTTTATCCATCCATGCCACCCACAAGCAGTGAACTCCTGGCACTGTTCTGGAGGTCTGGCAGGGAGAAGGGATGACAGGCCCACCTCACTCAGCTTGCACCTCCCAGAGCTGGTACAGCAAGGAAACAAGGCACAAGGAAATAAGGAGTGTGCCAGACCTCGTCGCCTAGGGAAAACCACATCAGAGAGGAATGAACTGGGAGAAGGACTTTGAACAGCAGCCTCAGGAGACAGCCAAGCCCAGGAGGCCCCCTGGGGTCTGCTTTGAGCTGCTGGAACTTAGCAAATGTAGTCTTGGGGAGCAGGCTGGCAGGGCCAGGGGACAGTGAGAAACCAGGACAACTGCAGTGACAGCGAGGCCAGAGAGCATAGGTGACAAGAAGCCGGGCGAGGCCAGTGATGACTTGAGGCCGTGGGTCCACCAGGGCTGGGTGACCTGAGCGCTGACTCGGGATGAACAGGCTAGGGGGCGGTAGTGAGCGAGGGTGGGAGCTGTGAAGCAACAGCCTAGGAGAGAGGGACAGTGGGTGGGTGGGCAGCCCAGGTGGTGGCAGCGGAGGTGAGGCCACCTGGCTGGCTGTGAGGTCTGTTTAGAAAGAGGAACAATAGCTGAGCAGAGGACTCAGCTCTGGGCTGGGCCAGGCTCCCCGGACACAGCCTGTCACTCGAGGGAGCCTCTTGGCACCAGTGCCCATTTCACCCACGGGGAGTAGAGACTCAGCCAGTGAGATCAGAACCAGGCTCAGGTTCACCCTGTCTGCCACCTCGGCCATCCAGCTCCTTCCCTCAGTGGGGACAGGTCTGACCCCATGGGGCCTTGGTGAACCCAAGCCGGGCTGCCGAGAGGATCTGTGTGTGGAGTGAATCACCTGTTGGGCTGTTAACCAGAAGGCTGGTGGTTCAGATCCACCAGGTGCTCCTCAGAGGGGAAGATGGGCAGAATGATTTACAGCTTCTGAGCCCCAATGGAGGGATGCTGTGAGTCAGAAAGGCAGCATTGGGTTTGGTGTTTGAGGCCCCTGCCTGTCTGCCTGCCGGTTATGGCCCCACGCCCAGGGGACGAGACCCAGGTTCCCTGTGGCTGTCACCCTGGGATGTGCAGGAAAAGTGGGTGAGACTGGAACACAGAACTCTGTCTCTCTGCTGGGCTCTGGACAGAATAGTGATGAGAGATTATGGGGAGAAAAGTCAGGGGTGGGTCCCTGTCAGAAGATAAGGAGGGAGCCAGAGGCAGAAGAGAGTCGGGGTCTCCTTGGGCCCCATCCATGCTCACGCTAAGCTAGGGGTGCAGTCAGGAGCAGATTGTGGGTGACCTGTGGAGATAATGTCCTAAGTGTTCCAGGGCCTTGTGTTCCAGCGAGGCTGGTGGTCTCGAGTCTTGAAGCTTGATGGTATAGGGTCTCCAGGTTCTGACTGGCAGACCTAGGCCCAGCTCCTCAAGTGGGGGTCCCACAGGGCACAGAGGAGAGGTTACAGCGACCACAAGACCCCCACCCCCACCCCTGTGAGAGTATTGGACTTGCATCATCTCAGGAAGCTGGGGTGCTGGGATGCTGCTGTGGGGGAAGGGCAGGAGGGAGGCGGGTGCTGGGGAGGAGGGTGGTGCCAGGTCAGCCTAGCTGACTCAGTTTCCCCTCTCCACCCTCCACCCCCCACCCCTCCCACCGCTGGTCTCTAGATATCCTGACCGAAGATGATGTCTACTGCAGTTGCCTGGCCAAGACCCTTTGCCACGTGCCTGTCCCCGTGACCGTGGGTTTCTACGCCCCGTTTGGCTGTCGGCTGCACATGATGCTGGACAAGATCACCTGTGAGGATTCGTATGCTCAGGGAGGGACAGGATGCAGCCCTCAGCCCTGCTGAACCCCAGGGCCCCCTAAGACCCACGGGCCACTGAGACCAGCTGCCCACCCCACTTCTGCACTAACCAAGCCTCTCCTCATGCTCACCGCCTCCCCCACCCCCAGGCTCCTGCTCCAGCCTCCTCCCCTCTGCCAGTCCACTCTCCTCTCTCGCTCTGTCCCTCTCCTGTTCCCAAGCCCTCCATGGCTCCCCAATGCCCTAGGAAGAACACTTGGGTTTCTTGCTGAGGCTACAGGCCCCTGCCAAGTCCCCACTGGCCTGTGCGCGCCCCCATTCCAGGTCCGTCTCTGCCTCCTGGCACCCACAAGACATCTAACAGGGAGGTTAATTGGAGAAATGGGCCGAAACTTGGCCAGATTCAGCTGCTGTGCATTTACTTGCCTGAGCAGGCAAAAAAATCAAACCCGGCCTGCATTCAGACCCTGAGCTGAAACGTGCCCAGAAGGAATGGGGTGATTCACCCCGGGTGCCCAGCCCTCCTGCCTGTCCTTTCAAGACTCCAGCACAGCAGGCTCGAGTCCAGCCTTGGTGTTAAGAGATGAACCCACAGGATGTCCAGAAGAGGAAGGATTCCTCCCAGGAGTGGGTGTGGGGGTGTATATAACACAGGAAAGTACAAAGGTTCATGGGAGGGGAGAAAAAAAGGCAAACATGCAATATGGAATTCCTACTGGGGACGTAGCCAACTGACCCTGCCCTGGTGGCAAAAGGGCATCACGCACAGATCTCTTTGGCAAACATTACCCCACACCTTCTCGAGGCTGAGGGACACTTGGTGACTGGACCAGCTCGGTCCAGCAGGAGAGACAGACCCATCTCCAGGCCAGACCAACACAGAGTGAGCTAAGCTAGGGTTGGGGCCGACCACAGGGCAAGCGACACAGTGTTGGGAATTAGGAGGTCTTCCTGGAGGAGGAGATATCTGAGAGGTAGGCATTTCTAGGTTGTCTAGCATTTTCTCCTTTTCTCATTCATTCTTTCGTCCCTGGCTCCCTTGAGTCCCCCGCATCAACACTTTTTTTTCCATCTACACTTTCAAGGAGCCCTGCTGGCGCGTAGTGTATAATGAATAGGGCTGGTGACCGTAACATTGGCAGTTCAAATCCACCCCGCAGCTCCCAGTCTCCTGTCAGGAGACTCAGGCTCAGGGAGGGTCGCTATGAGTAGGGAACCAATGCGAGGGTTTGGTTTTGGCGCCTTTCCAGCTCTCCCCCTCGCGATTTCCCGATCTGCCTCCAGCCCCTAGCTCTACTTGGGCTCTGCTCCTTTCCCTGCCCCTTGTTCCTCTCGTTCTCTGTCTACCTCTGTTGTCGCCAAGCCAGGCTTTGCCTCCGCCCCTCGAAGCCCAGCTATTCCTTCGCGGGTCCCAGCTCGAGAGCCGCAGCTCTTGCTCAGGCCCCGCCCCCGCACCAAGGCCCCGCCCCCAGGCCCGCCCCGCCGCTCACGGGTCTCCCGCCTCCTCTCCCCGCAGCGCTGATGCAGCAGGAGGCGGAGCAGCGCGAGGCGGAGGAGCTGCAGCGCGTGCACTTGCGGCCGAGGGCGGTGAGCGGCTGGGGCTTCCCGCAGTTGCTGTGGTACCTGGTGTTCCTGCAGCCCATCATCACCGAGGTGCACCTGCGGCGCAAGAACGTGCAGTTCCTCTTCATCCGCTTCAGCGCCTGGCAGTACGCGGGCACCGACAAGCTGTGGGCCGGCCTGGTGACCACGTTGTGCGAGGGCATCCGCCACCACTACGGCGCGCTGCCCTTCAGCGTGTACTCGGTTCTGAGCAACAAGCCGGGCACGTCGCCGGGCTTCAGCCAGCATGAGTGGCACTGCCGGCGCCGCGTGTGCCTGGCGCTGGTGGCGCTGCTGGCGGCGCTGTGCCTCGGCGTGGGCCTGCTCTACCTGTCCATGTGCGGCCACGCGCCGGGCCACGCGGGCGCCAGCGGCAGCATGCTCAAGGTGTTCGGAGGCGCGGCCACCACGCTGTCCGGCTCGGGGCTGCTCATGGCCGTGTACTCGGTGGGCAAGCACCTGTTCGTGAGCCAGCGCAAGAAGATCGAGCGGCTGGTGTCCCGGGAGAAGTTCGGCAGCCAGCTGGGCTTCATGTGCGAGGTGAAGAAGGAGGTTGAACTGCTCACCGACTTCCTGTGCTTCCTGGAGATCTACCAGCGCCGCCGGCTGCGCGTTGTGCTCGAGGTCACCGGGCTGGACACGTGCTACCCGGAGCGGGTGGTGGGCGTGCTCAACGCCATCAACACGCTGCTGTCCGACAGCCACGCGCCGTTCATCTTCATCCTGGTGGTGGACCCCAGCATCCTGGCCTCGTGTCTCGAGAGCGCCGGCAACATGAAGGGCACGGCCGACAACGGCTACCACTTCCTCAACCGCACCGTCACGCTGCCCTTCTCGGTGCCCATCATGGGCCGCCGCACCAAGCTGCAGTTCCTGCACGACGCCGTGCAGAGCCGCGACGACCTGCTCTACCGCGAGATCACGCGCAAGCTGCGGCCGCCGGGCGCGGGCGCGGGCAGCCTGGACGCCGCAGAGGGCGCGCAGCTGCTGGCGGTGGAGACTCAGGCGGGCGCCGAGCGCAAGCAGAGCCGCATCGACGCCGAGGCGGCGCGCCGCATCCAGGAGGCACTCCTGTGCCTGCACGACGAGCGCGACTGCCTCTACGAATACGTGCCGGACAACATCGTGTCCATGCGGCGCATCGTCAACACCGTGCCCATCACCGTGCGCCTGCTGTACCAGCAGCAGCAGCAAGCGGACCTGCTGGGCCCCACGCCGCGCCAGGCCGTGGCGTGGGTCGTGCTCGCCAACCAGTGGCCGTGCCGCCTCAGCTGGGTGCTGCAGTGCCTGGAGGACCGGCAGCAGGCGGGGGGTGCGCCGCCCGGGCGCGCGCGCCTCTGGGACGTGTTCTGCGACAACAGCCGCGAGCTGCATACCATGACCAAAGCGTTGCAGAACGTGCTCGACCTGGACGGGGACCCTGAGCTCTTCGAGCGCTTCCTGGACGCTGACTTCCCCTTCACCGTGGCCGAGGCGCAGAGCCTGCTGCACTGCACCGTCAACCTGGACCACTCCATCCGCCGCCGCATGGGCCTCATCCGGGCCGTCAGGACGCTCAAGCCGCCCAGCCCTCCTGGCTCCCCTGCCCGCGACGCCTCCCACGCCACTAACGGGGCCTCCGGCAGAGCCGCCACTGCCACCGCCCCCAAGGAGGCGCCGTCAGCCCACGCCAATAGAGCCAATAACACCTCCTCTTCGCCCCCATCAAGACCCCAGAAAGGACATGCATCGGCGAATGCTAGCAATGCCCCCCCACCCCGGAACTGGACAAAAGGGGGCAAGTCAGGACCCCTGGCCTGAGGCCTTTCTCTCCAGAGAAATCAGCCCAAGTGGACTTGGAATGGAAGGTCCAGGCAGGGGCAGCAGTTCCTGGAATGCCCACGTGGTGGCAGAGGGGGCTTGAGTGCGCCAGGGCCCAGGGCCCGTTCTCTGAACCAGCAATGAGGCCAGAGATGGTCACAGTGCCAGGAGTGAGAAGTCTGAGAACAGAGCCAGGCCCACCCAGGGACTCAGGAGTCAAGTGCAATAAATGAAGATGTGCAAAGCCCTGACTGGTTTTGACACTTTGGCCTCACCGGGCATAGTGAGGCGGAGCTCACTGCCCTGCCCAGGCCCACACCCCTTGTCACTGGCATCCTGGGTGGAGGAGAGGGGCTGTGGGGGCGTTGGGCGAGGCAGCCGGGGCAGGGGAGACAAAGACAGCTGCCAGGTTGACTCAGGTGAAGGCGAGTACCCAGGCCTCAGGGAATCCAGGTCTCTGTCCCCACGCCCTCACCTGACACTCGATGAGTAGGGCGGGGGCTGGCATTTCCGAGGGCAGTGTCCCTTGTGACCTCAGGAGGCTTTCCACCAACATGATGTGTGTCAGCCTTGATGGCACTCCTGCTGACTGGGTGGGTGGCATGGCCACTGCCCCAAGTAACTGTGCTGCCTGCCATGGGCCACTCCAGGGCAATTGTTGGTCACCCATCAGCTGCCAGGTGGGGAGTTGAGGGGCAGAGATGGAGTCACAACTAGAGGGTCACCTGGGGCTGAGTGGTGCTTGTTCTGCCAGGCCAGCCCTGTCCTTCCCACGTGCACCCTGGTACTCCCTGGGCAGGCAGACACCAGCCCTTTCACTGGAGCTGTGAGGACAAAGGTGGACCTCACACTGTGCTGCGGTCACTCTGGCGGGCTAAGCCTGAAGGAAGACCAGAGGCTCAGTGCTGAGTGCCCTCGTGGCACCATGAGTTCAGTGTACCCACCAAGCGGTTGTTGGAGTCCCCAGAACCCCTTTTTTTGTGAATTCAGTCTCAGCTGGGCTGTTCCCCGAACCCAGCATCCAAGTGGACTGACTGGCGCCAGGATTCACATCTGAGATAGCTATTAGCCTGGGTCTGGCTGGAGACAGCAGCAGTGCATGGCCCCCGGGTCCCTGGGAGGTGCCACCCCTGGGTCACTCCTGCCTGGATCGAAGGCGGTCGGTCATGTGTTGTCTCCAAGTGCTTGGGGAAATGTTCAGGTTGAGTTTGCAAAGGAAGGAATGGCTGGCTAACCTTTGCCCACTCTGGCACCAGACCGGCCTCCAATCTCAAGGGACCTTTGAAGGGAGACAGAGCTACTGAGAGGTGACAGGAGGGAAGAAGCATCTGGGCCCTCAACTCTGATGAGCTGTTGCCAATACTGACCACCTCAGTGTGAAAGGCAGCCTCCACTGGGTACAAAGAGGGCATTGAGTGTGGTCTGGTGAAGTGATGAAATGGTCTCCTAGTGTCTTTCACAAAGGTACCAAAAAAATGACATGCTCAGGGACACCTCTGGGGGCTGAAAGCCAGAAAATAATAACCCCAGAGGCTGTGGAGGGGATTCCAAGTCCTGGCAGCACACATGTCCATTTTGTGGGGTCTTCAAAGTTGTACTCTTTTGGAAAGACTTGTCTTCTGGGGCACATCTGGGTGCGCTTGAACCACTGACCTTTTGGTTATGTAGTTGAGTGATTGACCCCTTTGTGCCCCTTCAGTAGCTGTGGACAGAGCGCAGCGTGCACAAGCACGGCTGAGGGGTTCCCCTCTGCCTCCAGTCTACAACCCAGGACCCCTGAAAACCTGACACCTCACCACTAGGATGTGTGGTGTCAGCAAGGGCAGGGACACGACTGGTGACAGGACCAGGAGCAGAACGAATTTGGGGTCCCTTCTCACACAGGAACCACACAAGGGGCAGGTGGTCAGTCCCCTGCCTCCAGCCTCTGCTCTACTTAGAGGTGGGGGTGGAGGACAAGGGGACAGGGGCAGCAGCCCTGCTGCTGGGGACTGGGAGCCCCCCAGACGTTTACAAACTTGCAGGCACAGTGAAGGCCGAGGCCAAAATCTAGCCCGGGATGTGTTTTCTGAGGCTTTCATGTGGGCATCCGAGGCAGCAGGGAGGGGACCCTCCCGTGGTCACTATCCACCCTGTGCTGGTGACACCACCTTCCAGGACCCTGCACTACTCTGTGTGGCCCGAGAGCTTCCCCTGTAAGCTTAACCATGGTTGTCCTGGGAACCACGTAGACACCTGGAGCTGCAGGGGCCACAGGAGCACAGGGACAGGACCCACTGCTGCCCAGAATGCTGGAGGCGGAGGGCTTGTCCAGGGGCCACAGGAGATGCTGAGTCTGTGTCCTCCAAAAAAGGAAAGGTGCGCGGCTGAGGTCCCTTCCCGAGCATCCAGGCCTCATTTCCAGGGGCAAAGCCCCTTCCCTGTCTGCTCCATGGCTTCCCACCCTATCAGGCACAGGGCAGAATGGCTGGGCCCCTCAGAACGAGCAAAATACCCCTTAAAGACGGCTGGGCTGGTGGGAAAAATACAGCCTCTTCTTACTGTGACTCTGGGAAAGTCCTCTGACAGCCCCAGTGTCCCCTCCTGAACATGAGCTGAGGCGCAGCACACACATACATCAACATGAAGGCATGCCTATGGGCACCAAGGGGACCACCCAGCCTCTGCCCTCGGCCTCCGGGTTTCTTTGGGCAGCCCAGGGTGACGGCCCAGCCCCTGAACCCGCAGACGTGGCAGGCGGACGGTGAACCCAGCTCTGGTTTATTAGAAAAGGTGTGAACAGAGTTGCACCAACAGGAGCAGCCCCTCCTGTCCCCCTCCCCCCTGGTGTAGTGCCTCCGGGGGCGCAGCCTCAAGGCCCGGGCAGGTCGTCTCCCGCCCCAGCTCCCTGATAGATTTATTGCACTTAAGACAAAAGAAAGCTCTGCTCCTCGGTCCCAGTTCACCACCACCGTCACCGCCTCCTGCCACCCAGCGCTGCCCCCCAGGAGGACGAGGACGTGGACCGGGCCGCGCGGGCCGAGTCCGCCAGGCAGGACACAGGAGCTCAGTGGTCAGCCGCTCCCTGTCGCTGCACCTCGTAGTGTTGCTTTGGAGGGAGGGTCCCCGAACAGCCCCACCCCCGCGTCCTGGGCGTCAGGAAAGCTGGGGGAGGCAGGTCATGTCTCGGGCCTCAGCTCGGGTTGAAGACCGACTGGAAAAAAGGAACTTGGGGAGAAGAGACGTGGGGAGGTCAGAGCTTGGGACACCAGGCCCACTCTCTGGCTCTGCCCAGCCCCTCCCGGGGGGGGGGGGCCTCACCTAAAGTGTCACAGTGTCTCCTGCCCAGATTCCTGACTGGCTTCCAGAAGCAGCTCCTCCAGCTCCTTCTCATTTTTAGAGCAGCTCAGCTCTGGGGGTGGGGAAGAGAAATCAGCTCAGCTCTGGGGGTGGGGGGTAAAAGAGGGGTCAGCTCAGCTCTGGGGGGTGGGTAAAGGGTCAGCTCTGAGGGGAAGAGGAGTCAGATCAGCTGGGGTTTGGCAAGGGAAGGGGTCAGCTCAGGTCTTTTGGGGGAAAAGGGTCAGTCCAGCTCTGTGGGGGGAAATAAAGCTTTGAGGAGGGGGGGAATGGGGTCAGCACAGCTCTGTAGAAGGAAAAGGGATCAGTTTATCTCTTTGGGGGAAGGAGGGAGTGTCAGATTTCCTCTATGGGCAGAAAAGGGGTTTGGGTTAGTTCTGTGGAGTCTCACAGAAGAGGGGTCAGCTCAGTTCTGTGGGGGTAAAAAGGGGTCAGCACAGCTCTGCAGGGAGGTAAGCGAGGTCGGCTCAGCTCTGGGAATAGAGGGGTCATCTCAGCTCTGGGGAGGAGGGGGAATCAGCTCAGTTGGGGGGAAGGGGATTGGGTCAGGTCTGTGGGGGTAAAAGAGAGATCAGCTCTGTGAGAAGGGGTTTGTGTCAGCTCAGCTCTGTGGGGGGCAGAGGGGAGTTAGCTCATCTCTAGACGGGCAATGGTGTTCAGGTCAGCTCAGCTCTGTGAAGGGAAAAGGAGGGTCCGTTCAACTCTGTACTGGAGGACGAGGGTCAGCTCGGCTCTGTACTGGGGGATGAGGGTCAGCTCAGCTCTGTACTGGAGGACGAGGGTCAGCTC